CAAGAGTTATCTGTTCCCCGCGCGAGGAAACTAGTACGTACGAGCCTCGTACTAGTTTCCTTGTGCGGGGAACAGATAACTCTTGAGTCACGGGCAAGAGAAACGTGCGACCGAAAGCGCAAGATTAAAAGGCGAAAATTTAAAACAAAGATGGCGGCACGAGGATTTTTTTCTACTCGTTTTGTGAGAAGTTCACCAGAGTGTGTATTTGATGTGATGAGCAGCCACTGTGAATGCAGGAGATAGAAACTAAGATGAAGAAGACGATTTTCGGAGAAGTAAAGGTTGCTTCACTTCCCATCTGAAAGAAATATTCAACCGATATGAAATCTTGCGANGCAGTTCAAAATATATGAAAATCATATGTTCATCGTATCTGATTTATCATCACGGGTTTATTACGAATCAACTTAACGGCCTGCTCCCAGTTGGCTTGTTAGCTCAATTGGTAGAGCGCTGCACTAGTATCGCAGAGGTCAGTGGTTCGAATCCCGTACAGGCCTGATTTTTTTCCAGGTCTGATTTTCGCTATTGCATAAATAGCGCTCTCCACTGCGAGGATCGTGCATCATACGTACAAGTGATATTAATCCTTAATTTTACTCGTCCCCATGCGATTGCCTATACGAACAATAAAACCAATAGAGTGTTTATGTCTCGGAACTATAGGTTTGATAATCGTCTCTTGGATATTTGATGTTCTTAAAACCAGCATATTTGCCCTGGAAGCTTCGCTTCTCGAGCAAATATTTGTTTTAACAACATCAAATTTACGCCGGGCAACTATCATTCGAAAGTTCCCAGACAGAAATACTCTATTGTTGAAATAGATTTAGCGAAGCCTAAAAGCGGGGCTCGCATTATTTTTCCCGCACGCTCAAGGGCACAACGCCTTGCCTTGTATACTGGGGAACTGTATTTGCTGTAACTACTTTGTGTGTGTGCATTCTTCTATTTTTAGAGGTGTGTGTGTGTGTGTGTGTGTGTGTGTGTGTGTGTCTAGGTCTCTTTTTTGTTATTTGACTAATTTTCTTTTAAATTCCTATTTTGTATGTAAAAGTAAGAAAATGCTTCAAATAAATTTATCAAAAAGAAAAAAAGGATAAATGCAAAGGCAAGGACTCGAACCTGAGACTCAAACCCGGGTGGTCCGAATCGGAGCCGAAAGTGGTAAAAAAAAATATTATTTAACGGGCTAAAGGAGGATGGTGAAGAGGAAACCACATGAACAAAGTCGCTCGGTAGGTTTTAAGTGGATAACTCTGAGTGCTACGGTTTGTTTTGCATTGGATTTGAATTATAATAAAATGAAATGAACAAGAACTTTCCTAAACAACTCACTAGAAGATGAAAAAGAAAATGAAATCATTGTTGGATCCAGGATTGTGAACATTGACAGTTTTATGAAAGGAAAATAGAGAAGTGCAAGTTGTTGCCTTAGAAATAAACATAATGTTCAAGTGAACAGAGATCGAAAAAAATATAGGTGAGATTTAATTCACAGACGGCAAAATCAAAAGAAAATATTTGTCTCAAACTTGTGAGAAAGATTGTTGATATTTCCCTAAAAAACTGTATAAAGAATATACTGCTAATGAAGCAATTGTAACAACATAACAAGCAACAACCCGAAGCAAGGGTTACGTAACCCACGAGAAATATATTACTTCGCTTTTAAGGACTTGGAATTTGCTGAAGGAGGCGACACGCGTAAAGAGAAATTTAAATTGAATTCCAATTGCAGATACTAAATTTACATCTAAAGTATGAGGTAGTCGTATTATTTATTAGAAGTTTATATCTTTTATCGTGGAATAACCCCCTCGACTCCCTCGGGGGAAATGAGTTTTGTTCAAGTGTCGGTCAAGTATCGATGATGTATCGGTCAAGTATCGGTCATGTATCGGTCATGTATCGGTCGAGTATCGATGGTGCAAAAATGTATCGATCGACCAGGCTAGTGACCGACTATCGGTTGCCAGTCGACCGACTATCGGTCGCCAGTCGGCCGACTATCGGTCGCGAGTCAGTTGACTACCGGCCGACTATCGATCGACTACCGGCCGACTATCGATCGACTATCGGTCGATAGGTCGATCGGTCGATGGTCGATATATCGACCGATAGTCGGCCGATATATCGACCGGGGCGGCCGTTAGTAGACATGATCCCAGTTTTCTAGCAAAACTGACATAGCTAAAACCTACTAACATTCATATCCTTATTTTTTACCCGGAGTACCGTGACTTATTTTCTCTCATTCATTGGCATTACAATGAGCTTCTAAGTACTCTTGATATTAACCAAATCGATTCAAATCGTACGGATCCACTAAGAAACTTTTGCATCCAGCTTCGATGGCTTTATCTAGTTTATTACCATACCCGTTGCCCTGTTGTTGTTTACGCAGGTCGTTCCGCGAGAAGTGAGTTGGAGATAGCTCACTGTTATGCTTGGTTGAAACGAAGCTTTGAAGATCCACGCTATTTATTACGGTTAAAGTATGGCAAGCTTCAAAATCGGCCGAAATATAAGTGCCAGATGTAGTTTGATCGAACCGTATCATCATGCAATGTTACGTGACAAAGTTTCACGGAAAAGATCTATAGTTCATCACATACATGTGGTTATCAATCCTTCAATGCCACGCGACTAAGTGTGTTCTTTGAAAGTTTACTTGGGAGTTTCTGTCTGTGCTAAATAGAGAGCAAGACCCGTCGTTGATCTGACGTATTCTTTCCCTGCCCTTAGAGATGTTGAGACTTGCTGAGAATCTTTGTCATCTTTCGTGACAACAGGTTATAGCAGGAGTTCTATGTATGCCGAATCAGAAACAAAAAAGCCAAATTCGAACTAAATCTCACTAGACAGGGTGTTTTAGAAAAGAATTACGAATCACCGGGCTCGTCAAAATACAGCACAACTCGTAAAAATACTCAGCGATACTACACAACCAAACGTCTAATAAGATATCTGTATCTAACGTGACAGACTTACATATAGTACCTTCAAAAGTTTAGTTTTTTGTGCCTAACAGAGTGCGAGACTTGACGTGAATTTTACGAAAAAGAGGGCAATTGAACGGTTGGCGAGATGTGAAGGGAATCCTATGTACTTGCGCGTTATTGAAAATAAGTAGCCTGAAATTTTTTTTATCAATGCGTGATGGAACGTGAGACTTGTAATATATCTTACTTAAAGTGAAACAGCAAGGTTTTTTTTTTTTCAACAAATGTTACCTAGAAGTCTTCTGTCAGTTGCTCCGAATGAATAACGAGATCACCCGTAGTAAATCCTATGGGAAAACTATGGTATAAAAGTGAGCTTATCTGTAAATTTTTTGTCGGTCGAGAATTAATAGACGGTGCGCGACCTGTTTATTTTTTCATCTGTGACTTTTTTCGTTGAGCGGAAGAGTCAAATGGAAATTATGGCTGCCATCTTTAATTCCAACTTTTTCTATTTCTTTTTCCTGTTCTCCGCTTTAACAAACCGGCCCAGTAAATGTAATTTCTGACGTTTGAGTGACATGGGAACGAATTAGTCAGAAAGTAATATTTTGATGGCACGTAGAAGAGGTTCTCGTCGCATCATGGTAGTTTCGGATTATCTAAGCGATTCGCGGGAAAATTTGGTCATTCTAGGTCGGTCAGTCTTAGGTTTGACCGTGTTCTTTTTTCTTATTTGATGTAATTTTGTTTTACAACTCTCTGTAAAATTAAAGTATCTCTACATTCACTTATTCTTCTATGTGATTAGTGTTGTAACTAGGCTAGTTACCCTTTCTTCGGGGTACAGTGTAGGCTGGATTTCCGCCGCTCTCTCGAGTCCGGTCGTTTATGTTCCTCCCCGAGAAGAGTGGGTTCGGGGAGGAGGGCGAGCTCCGGTTCCCGAACTGCGACTGGTAATTGCGCTTAGGTATAGTGCTGCTGCATTGGATGAGGGATACTTTTCCACGTATTTTTTGGCCACTTCTCAAGAGCGGGTTTTTAGTGGTTTTTCGTATCTGACGTAGGACAGGCTCTTTGTAGAACTCTTCAGTTTCAGTAAATACATCGGCAGTGCATTGCAGATTGTATTGCCTGTATTAGGATGCCGTATACAAGACCGGGTGACTAAACTCTCGTCTGAGTGTAGTCAGAAATATTGTATTAATGAACTCAAAGTCTAACCAAATTTGTCCTTTGTTGGGTGTTTTGTTTTGTTTTGTCGTGCTTTCGCAACTTACTTGTAAATCAATTTATTTTCAACTTTCTTCACTCAATTTCGACTTTTTGCACTCAATTTTTAACTTTCTTCTCTGTTTGGGATTTATAGACTTGTTCTCAGCCATTGAGCATGCTGATAATTTTGCATTTGTATCATTATCGTCTGGCATTACTGACTGATGACTTTAAATCGAACTCCCGCTGGGCGCTCATGCTATTTTCAATTCACGCCGATAAATTCAAACCAAATTACACGCCAATCAGTTAAGTTACTGTCACTCTTTTCAGCACACCCATAACCACTGCTTCGGAAAGTTATCGTAGGTTCGAATCTGGGAAAGGGCGGTACTGACGGTGCTTAAATTGTATAAACTTATTTTAAAACACCGGCTTTTTTGCATCACATGCCCAGAGCATTACCCGAAAATTTCAGCGCATCCGTGTCACAGTCTCAGCGTTTGCATGAAATACCGCATTTGCTGAATACCTCAACTTCAACCAAAACGTTTTCCTCTTTTAGCAATTTTACGCTGACCCATCATCGTGAAGTAGCAATTTATATGATCACTGGAGACATTTGATCAGCGGTTTTGCATGGCAGCCATGTTGCATGGCAGGAACAATGAAAATATTTTGCATAAGAAAGAAAATTTTTTCGCATGGAAAAAATAAGCTATTGTTACTGCCATGCAACATGGCTGCTGTGCAAAACCTCTATATTGAGCTGTGATTGGTTAAATTTACTTGAGTAACCTGAGCGAATATCTTTATAACTAAGTAACTGGCAAAGCCGCTAAGCGTGAAAGTTCTGTAACAAGGTAGGAAAATGGATGGAGAAGTGGAGGAGAATGTACCTGTTTTCCTATCATTCAGCAAACTTGGCGTAAAGATTGGCGATCGTAACATTCTTCAAAATGTGAGCGGGAAAATTCGTCCAGGGGAAATGTTGGCCGTGATGGGCCCTAGTGGTAAGGGATTGCGATCTCATTACGAGTTGGTTTTAGCGTTGTAAAAAGTAACACGAATGTATATATCTACCAATGGATGCTTATGTATGTGACTCGTGACTGAGTGCATCGTAACCAGTAGGTATTTTCACAGTTATCGTTATTTTTCATTCTGAGTCGATTTACCTCTGAGTCAGCAGTTTACAATGTACATTGTTGTGAGCTAATTTTGCTCCTGTGTTTTCGTTTTTGTCGAAAGATTCATTTTAAAGTAGTAGTAAATCTCTTGGAATTTATTACTCGTGGATGAGAAATTGTTGAGTCAACTGGTTGTGAGGAGACCATGTTTTGACTAGCCTTAGATAATGGAGAGTGTTACGTAATGTGGGGCGAAGAGAGGTCGACTAATTCTACCGTCAGTGTCAAGCCCTGGGGTTGACTCAGAATGCAGAGGATTAGGTGGCCACGGGAAGTTGACTCCGCATGATATTTTTCGTCTATG